ATGATAGAAAAGGTTATTTTGTGATTACATGAATGATGATCCAATTCTTTGAAATGTCTTTGTGGTATCCTTAGCAGAGGCCCTTACCCAGGGGAATAATACTGTGGCTTATGGTCATGAAGCCCTCGCCCGGGGGAGATAAGATCGTGGCCTAGGCCCTTGCCCAGGGGAGATAAGATCGTGGCCTAGGCCCTTGCCCAGGGGAAACAATACCGTGGCACAGGCCCTCACCTGAGGAAAACAATATCGTGGCCCACGTATGAGATATGTTACTCGGTACCGGAGGTTCCATTATGAAACTTAATATTCTTGACCAACATGATATGTTACACTAGAGAAAGTACCACACATGATTTGAATATGAATATGAATATGACTCTGTTTCTGATACGAACACGAACATGACTGTGTTTTTGATTTGATAAGAGATTTAAAATCTGATTTCTGAATTTGTTATGGACATCATTCATTAAAATCTTTACTCTGTTATTATTCATTGGACTCCAGCTCATTGTATTATTTATGTATGTAGGTGATCAGGTACGTGATCAGGCGCGTGACCAAGCCTAGAGCTTCTGTCTGGACTCTGTCTTGTCAACCAACCTATGTGTCTCCTGTGGAGGTTCTGGATATGTCAAGTTGACAAAGCTATGTGATTAAAGTTTAAGTTTCGTTAATTCTGTATTTAGGGCTAAGTCCCATTTTGTCTCATCCGTATATATGATGACGTACGATTGATGTGATAATATATGTATATTAAAAGTTTAAAATTTTTCTGTCTCATATAAGTCTGCACAGCTTAATGGACGTTGTTATTTGTTATTTGCTTCCGCTAGCCCCTAATATTATGTTAATCTGTCTCAGTTTAGGTTAAGTCTTGGAGATAGTCTAATAATTTTAAGCAATCTCAGGTTGAGATTCAAATAGTCAAATAGATGGGTAGATGGGTTCTCACTTTATCAAATATCAATAAATATATCTATATAGGTCTAAGATTTAGAATAAGTATGAAGACAATGTAATTTGAATTACTTATATAAGTGTAATCTTAAGTAAATAATGAAGCTAATAAGACCGTGTAAAACGTAGACCTGTAGTGAAATCGAATCACCACTTTGAAACAATAGTATGCGAAAGATTGTCAAAAAATGGTAATTTTAATTTAACAGAAGTATGTAAAGTTCTGCTCTGATCTTTGTGATTGTCTACTACTATATGAGTACAACACAATATCTGTTATTTTCGAAAAGGCTAATGAATTTCTACAAGACATACTTTTGTTCTGACTTTGATATGCTTATGTTTTGAATCCGGCGTGCCCCTCTGTTTTGGAATTACCATCATAATTGGTATCCAAGATGTCCGTTTGGAACTGAGACCATTAATATGTGATTACATTTCCATATAATTCAGAAATTTCTGTTATAGATTAGCTTATGAAACCTTATTTGGGGATACTACATTATATGCATAACTTACGAACCTTTGACATGGTCAATGAAAGTTAAATGATCGTTCTTTTGGGAAATAATGAATTATGGATTGCGTAGGAAAATGTCAAAACTATTATTGTCAATAGATTTGAAAGATTAAGAACTTGTATTTGTTATTAGCGATGCTTTGAATATTAAATTAATTCAAAAATCTCATATAAAATAATAATAGCTGAATATTTCGATTCATTTAAAAAGTAAAGAAAGTCATGAACATCCTTGAAATAATCTTCTACTATTTAGAGTGTGTGAATTATAGATCGATGAATTAAAGTATATGAGTTATATGATTCATGACAATAGAGACGACAATGAATCGCCAATTTGAGTTATTAACCATTAAGTGATTGGGAAATAAGTTCAATTTCTGTGAAGAAAATTCAATAAAAAGAAAGTTACCTAGGGCAGGAAATGAAATGAGACCAAGTTATATGACTGATTTTCGGTACAAGTATCTTAAGTTTGGAGGACCAAACTTTCTAAGAGGGGAAGGCTGTGACGACCCCACCACATATAATGATTAGCACTTAATTAATTAAGGAGATTTGAATTTTAATTGCCAATTATTATAATTTAATCTAGGATTTATGAAATTTATGGAGATTGATTCGTATATGACTCTATTGAGGATTTATTTTGGAATTAGAAATTGAAACCCTAAATGGCTCAAGAGAGTACAATGGTGAATTAAATTATTTTAATTTCGAGTATCGAATTATATGGGAGTTTAATTATATAGCGATTCCGGTTTTGACCCGTTGTCTATTGTATTCCGGACTCAGGTTGGTATGGTTTAGAATGGTTATTCATATCTTGTTTCCCTTGTCTCACATTTTATTTTGGTTATTGGGTTGCAGTTGTGCGTTTGGAACAGGTTGGTTGCTTGTATTTCCAAACCTATGATGCCCAAATTTTGGCTTTTGCGCTCGAGCGGCCTTCACAAATTTTGCTCCTCTGCTCGAGCGGCCATTCTTGTGCTCGAGCGGGACTTGTCAACTCGCAATATTTTTTTGCAGACCTACAAATACTGGCAGAGTGCATTGGACGCTCGAGCATCTAGTCTCACGCTCGAGCTGAACTTTATGTCTAACGCTCGAGCGTCACTTTCCACGCTCGAGCGGATTACGTGTATAACAGTCCATGAAGATGATGTTTTGAATACCTTTTCCGTCATTCTCTCTCTAAAACTTTCCAAAAACCCAAATCTTGAGTTTCTCTCTCTAAAACTCACATTCTCTCTTAGATTTCATCTAGATCCATTGATCTCTTCACCCTAGTGCCTTTGAGAAAAAGATAGTGTATCTCAAGATCTATATTTTCATCCGAATAGAAGTGGGTTTCGGTGTTCTTGGAGTTTCTCTCTTGTTTGGCTCATCTTCTCCTTTAAGGTAGGGATTTTTTCTACACCTTCATATGATATTTAGCTTAGTTATTTGTCTCTTGTGTAACAATGATGTGATTTGGGGGTGTTTCAAGCAACCTTAGGGTTTGGGTATAATATGGAAAAAGAGATTGTTGTTGAATATGAAATAAATGAATATGGGCTGTGAAAATGAAATTATAGTTTAGGTATAATATGGAAAAATGGATTGTTATTGAATATGAAATAAATGAATGTGGGTTGTGAAAATGAAATTATATTTGGTCAAAATGGTAAAGTTTGATGCTTGGGTTGATATTTGAAAAAGGGAAATTTTTGCCCTAATTTGACTATCATAATTATTTTATATAAATAATTGAATTGGTGGGGTAATCATGAAATTGAGCAAATGTTGAAATAGATGGTGGAATTGTGTATGTAATACTTCACATCTTTGGAAATTTTAGATAAATTATTTGTCTTGACATTGCATATCTGTCTAGAAATATCTATATTGGGCCATCAGTGGAGGATAACTATGATTGTTGTAGAAATTGCATGCGAATTAGATGAATTCAAACTAATCTCTTGTAGTTGTCATTGAATATGACTGTGTTTATATACATTGTATATGTATGGTTGTTTGGGAGTGGAAAGGGGATGTGCTCCACGTTTGATTATGTGTTTAAATACATTGCATATGTATGAATGATTGTTTGGGAGGAGAAAGGGGATGAACTCCATTATAATTAAGTTGGCCGGAGTGTCTTGGGTGAAAGTCCCGAAATTATACATGGGTGCCAATCTCGCGGATGAAATATCCATAAAATGGCAATTTTAGTGCTTGTATAGCCTACGTTTACATGGGTCCTGTTTGACGGTTTTCCGCGAATGAAATATTCGTGAAAGGAAAGTTTGAAGTGTTTATTCGTTGATGATGTGATTATAGAACTAATGAGTTGTTGTCTGATTTGGGTTATTGAGAAATGATAAAGTTGGCTCATGTAATGAAATGCATGGAATGGAAATGGATTAAGAATTGAATCTGGTATCTTATGACTATATAAAGTGTGGTTGTTCTATCATTGATGTTGTATATGCATAGTATACTTATATCTTTGCTAAGTTTCATATACCGTGTTAGATGATTCCTACTGGGTTGTGGCTCATCCTATTTGGGAATAACATTTTCAGGTGTTAGTGACTTGCCTCCACCAAGGCAATAGCTTGGAGAGACATTTTGGGAGCAAGAGCTTCTTTATTTGAATTGTATATTTTTGTAAAGCCAATGGCTAAACGTGTATGAGCTAGTCTCTCTTTGTTGTACCCAAGTCAAGGCTTGGAAAGGTGTAAGCCAATAGGACATTTATTTACATGAACTCTTTTGTAATACCAAGTCTAGGTAATGCAAGGATTATTTACTCTGATTTATGCTGTTATTTATAAGCATTCTAGGATGTATTTATTGCATATTTTGGGGGCATTACAAATTAAATATTCAATTCAAATTTATAAAATTGAGATTTGGATAATTGGGTCCGAACTGGAGTTAATTAAGTTATTAGGATTGGGAATTAAAAATTATTATGAATTAAATTTATTTATGAGGTGTTCAATTAAATATGTAATTTATTGACAGAAATCTTGAGTTAATCTGAAATTGAAGGCCTTAATAATGTGAGAAGCCAAAATTAATGATGAAAATAAATTTAATTTGACATTTAGAGCCTTTTGGAAGTTTGATTAAAAATCTGATTCAGATTGATAGATTTGAATATAATTAATTGGGCTCTAATGGAAGTCAATTAGACTAATTAAATTGTGTGGGATTTATGATTAGTTATGATTAATTTAATTATGTGTTACTCAAGATTTATTAAGAATAAGTGTTATTTAATTAAATTAATCTTAACTGTAAATTAAATTGTAGAATGATTTAGAGTTTGAGGATAAATGTGGGTGTGTGTGGTGAGAAATCTGGGTGTGCAGAGAAATCATTTGTGTGTGTGCATGTGAGTGTTGTGCTGGAGGCTTCAATAAGTGTGCACGTGTGCATTGTGAAGAGGGGAGTGTGCGTATATGAGGAGAGATAGAGTAGGCAACTCTATTTTATTACTTGCTGGAAGCATTATTATGACAGAAGGAGATTGAGAACAAAAAAAAGAGTGTAGCTTCATATCTGTTTTGGGCAAACCCATGAGAGAGAGAGAGAGAGAGAGAGAGAGAGAGAGAGAGAGAGAGTTCAAATCTTAGAACTCATGTTCTAGAAATGGTGAAGAAGGGCTAAGGAAAAGCTTGGAAAAAGTGAAGAATTGAAGAGAGACTCAAGAAATTGTGTAGAAACTCATCAAATTGAAATCAAATCTTGTGGATATAAATCATCTAGAAGCTGAAATTAAGAGGTAATTAGACTTAATTGCATGCAATGAAAAATAAATTAGCAAGAAAATGAGTTAGTTTCATGATTATGGAAATTAACTTAGAAATTAATTATTTTGTGTTTGATTTTGCATATTTTATATGAATTTGAGTCTTATTTTTACGTGCATGCAATTTGGAGAAATTAAATAATTAATTCATGAACATGGTTAAGGTTAATCAATATGGAAATAATTATAATTCTTCAATTGAGCTTAGGTTTGGAAATCTTGATATATATGAGATGTAAATTTACATGCACAATGAAGTTTTTAAGAATTGAGCCATGCAAGTTCATTATGCATTTGATTTTGAAGAAAAAGTTTTGAAAACATTGAGTTCATGAAAACAATTTAATCATGGAGTTAAATTAGGTTTTGATTTTGTTTTGTAACCTAAAAATTGGTTTGATTTTAATCTCTAGTCCATGCATGTAATGTAATTTAAGAGTTTTACTTAATTTAAACATGTTTTGGTATATATTACATTAGTTAGTTTTATTTGAATTGCATATATGCAATGCTTGCTAGGAAAATTGACAAGAAAATGTAGAATTTGAGCTAAGATCAAGTTAATGAAGTTTAATTAGAAATTAATTATTTTAGATTTGATTTTGGATGTTGTAATTAAATTAAGCTCCATAAATTATATGCAATTTTATTGTGCATTTGATTTTGAAAATGAATTTTAGAATCATGAGTTCATGGGTTTTGATTTAAATATTGTGTTTCAAGATTTTGAGCAAATAATTTATAAATAAATAAGTGTTTATGTTTTCTAATTTACTTTCAAAGTTTTGATCAAGATTAGTATGGGTTTAAAGATTGAAAATGCACTGGGAAGCTATTTTTGAGAAATTTAGAATTTTGGAATTTTAGAGACCGCTCGAGTGCACATTGAAGACTTCCAGTACTTTTGCAGTCTTTATAGATAGCTTGAGCGAGTAAAGGTTCGCTCGAGCGAACAGTTATTTTCAGCACATTTTGAAAAATTACATTTAGTTTATATTTTTCAGCATATTTTGGAAAATTGCATTTAGTTTATATTTTTATTCTCATCTCCTTCCAAAGTATTCTAGACATGATTTATGACTCAATAAAGATTAATAAGCTAACAATCAACATTAATTAGTTGATTAAAAAATAAATCATTAACTCAGTAGTAATTGATTAAGAAGCCAAGTAAGAAATTGGTTTATTCAGAAAAGACTGATTTAGTAATGAAAGAATATATGAAATGAGAACTCGATTCATTTGAATAAAAAAGAAGAAGCATAGTAGAACTTCGAACTACTTAGACAGAAAAAGACAAGAAAAGTCAAGTTTGATCAAGGAATTGATATTGTGTTTCAATGTGTATATGTTATGTGTTTGTGTAGGTCACGCACTATTGTCTACCTAATCTGTCTGATCTGCTTCTGCAGCTTTCTGTGAGTAATAACTTAGTAAAGTTATGTTTGATATGAAATACTTTCTTAATATTATGATATGATATGAACATTTTCTAAATGATACAAAAGGTTATTTTGTGATTGCATGAATGATGATCCAATTTTTTGAAATGTCTTTGTGGTATCCTTGTCTAGAGGAACAATACTATGGCTTATGGTCATGAGGCCCTCGTCCGGGAGAAACAATACTGTGGCCCAGGCTCTCGCCTGAGGGAAACAATACCGTGGCACAGGCCCTTGCCCGGGGGAAACAATACCGTGGTTCACGTATGAGATATGTTACCCGGTACCGGAGGTTCCATTATGGAACTTGATATGCTTGACCAACATGATATGTTACGCTAAAGGAGGTACCACACATGATTTGAATATGAATATGAATATGACTCTGTTTCTTATATGAATACGAACATGACTATGCTTTTTATTTGATAAGAGATTTGAAATCTGATTTCTGAATTTGTTATGGACATCATTCATTAAAATCTTTACTCTAATGTATGTAGGTGATTAGGCGCGCGACCAGGCCCAGAGTTTCTGCCTGGACTTTGTCTTGTCAACCAACTTATGTGCCTCCCGTGGAGGTTCCGGATATGTCAAGTGGACAATGCTATGTGATTAAAGTTTAAGTTTTGTTAATTCTGTATTTAGGGCTAAGTCCCATTTTGTCTCATCTGTATATATGATGATGTAGGATTGATATGATAATATATGTATATTAAAAGTTTAAAATTTTTCTGTTTCATATAAGTCTGCATAGCTCAATGGACGTTGTTATTTGTTATTTGCTTTCGCTAGCCCCTAATATTATGTTTATCAGTTTCAAAGGCCTTTGGTCATCCAAGGATTACTACGATGCTAAACCTATAAGGGCGGGTTAGGGTCGTGACAAGAGATCCAAGATTTTTTTTTATGGTAAATTACAAACACACTCCCTGAGGTTTGCTTAAAATACAGATTGTCCTTTGTGGTTTGAAAAATTACAAATATCCTCTTATTAGAAATTTTTTATTTAACAAAAATAACTAAAAGAATGAAATTCATAATTATTCTCGTATACAATAATAAAATTACCTAAATTATTAATTGAAACATATTTTTAATATCATTAAAAACTGTTAATTGACTTGATGATTTATTAATAAAAAAGGGTGATTTGTTATGAAATTAGAAATCTCATGGGGTGAAATGCAATTTTAAAAATCATAAGGGGCGATTCTTATTTTAATCAAATCTCAAGGGGTGTATTTGTAATTTTAGCTAAGGTCCCTCGATGAAATTTCTTTGTGAAATCAGAGAAATTTCTCTGTGAAAATTGAAATTTCTCTGTGTTAGGGCCAAAATATCTCTGGGTCAGACCCAAATTTCTTTGAGTTGAATTTTTTCTGTGAAAATGTTAAGGGACCCCAACTACTATGAAAATACTATATGTCATTCATTGTGACAGCCTCACCACGTATAATAATTAGTATTTAATTAATTAAAAAGATTTAAATTTTAATTGTTCATTATTCTTATTTAATTTGGGATTTATGAGAATTATTGAGTTTGATTCGTAAATAGTTTTATTAAGGATTTATTTTAGAATTAGAAATTGAACATCAAAATAACCTAAGGAGGTGAAATTGATAAGTTGAATCAGTTTAATTTCAAGTATTGGACCATATGAGAGTTTAATTAGATATTCAATTCAGTTTCGATTCAGTTTAGTAAAATTTGGATTTGAATAATTAGGTCCGAATTGGAGTTAATTAAATATGGGGATTGAGAATTGTGATTAGTTTGAATTAAATTTACTTATGAGGTGCCCAATTTGAATACACAATTTATTGACGGAGATTTTGAGCTTAATTTGAAATTGAAGGCTTTAATGATTTGAGAAACCAAAAGTGATGATGACAATAAGTTTAATTTTAATATTTGGAGCCTTTTGAGAGTTTGATTAAAAATCTGATTCAGATTGGTAAAAATTAAATATAATTAATTGGACCTTAATTGAAGTCCATGAGACTAATTAAATTATGTGAGATTTGTGATTAGTTGCAATAAATTAAATTATGTGTTAATCAAGATTTATTAAGACTAATTATTAATTATAATTAGTTAAGACTAAGAGGTGTTTAGTTAGCCTAATATGTAATTAATAGACTAATCTAATGCCTACTCAACTTACTTACCACGTTGGTGCATAGTGAAGAGAAGATGAGATTGTTCTAGAATTAAATAGAGGGACCTAATACCATACTAGACTTCATAAATTGAAGGGAGAAGTGCATGCCTATTCATTGTGCAACAATGATTCATCCCATTAAAAATATCACTACTAATAGCACTAATATATTAAAAAAGTAAAAAAAAAAAAAATACAACTCTTTTGTTATTAGCGATGCTTTGAATATTAAATTAATTCAAAAATCTCATATAAAATAATAATAGCTGAATATTTTCGATTCATTTAAAAAGTAAAGAAAGTCATGAACATCCTTGAAATAATCTTCTACTATTTAGAGTGTGTGAATTATAGATCGATGAATTAAAAGTATATGAGTTTATTGATTCATGACAATAGAGACGACAATGAATCGCCAAATTTGAGTTATTAACCATTAAGTGATTGGGAAATAAGTTCAATTTCTGTGAAGAAAATTCAATAAAAGAAAGTTACCTAGGCAGGAAATGAAATGAGACCAAGTTATATGACTGATTTTCGGTACAAGTATCTTAGTTTGGAGGACCAAACTTTCTAAGAGGGGAAGGCTGTGACGCCCCACCACATATAATGATTAGCACTTTTAATTATTAAGGAGATTTGAATTTTAATTGCCAATTATTATAATTTAATCTAGGAATTTATGAAATTTATGGAGTTGATTCGTATATGACTCTATTGAGGATTTATTTTGGAATTAGAAATTGAACCCTAAATGCTCAAGAGAGTACAATGGTGAATTAAATTATTTTAATTTCGAGTATCGAATTATATGGATTATTATATAGCGATTCCGGTTTTGACCCGTTGTCTATTGTATTCCGGACTCAGGTTGGTATGGTTTGAATGGTTATTCATATATTGTTTCCCTTGTCTACATTTTATTTTGTTTTGGTTGCAGTTGTGCGTTTGGAACAGGTTGGTTGCTGTATTTCCAAACCTATGATGCCCAAAATTTGGCTTTTGCGCTCGAGCGGCCTTCACAAATTTTGCTCCTCTGCTCGAGCGACCATTCTTGTGCTCGAGCGGACATTGTCACTCCAATATTTTTTTGCAGACCTACAAATACTGGCAGAGTGCATTGGACGCTCAGAGCATCTAGTTCACGCTCGAGCTGAACTTTATGTCTAACGCTCGGAGCGTCACTTTCCACGCTCGAGCGGATTACGTGTATAACAGTCCATGAGATGATGTTTTGAATACCTTTTCCGTCATTCTCTTCTAAAACTTTCCAAAAACCCAAATCTGAGTTTCTCTCTCTAAAACTCACATTCTCTCTTAGATTTTTCATCTAGATCCATTGATCTTTCACCTAGTGCCTTTGAGAAAAAGATAGTTGTATCTCAAGATCTATATTTTCATCCGAATAGAAGTGGATTTCGGTGTTCTTGGAGTTCTCTCTTGTTTGGCTCATCTTCTCCTTTAAAGGTAGGGATTTTTTCTACACCTTCATATGATATTTAGCTTAGTTTTTGTCTCTTGTGTAACAATGATGTGATTTGGGGGTGTTTCAAGCAACCTTAGGGTTTGGGTAAATATGGAAAAGAGATTGTTGTTGAATATGAAATAATGAATTGGGCTGTGAAAATGAAATTATAGTTTAGGTATAATATGGAAAAATATTGTTTTGAATATAAAATAAATGAATGTGGGTTGTGAAAAATGAAATTATATTTGCAAAATGGTAAAGTTTGATGCTTGGGTTGATATTTGAAAAAGGGAAATTTTTGCCTAATTTGACTATCATAATTATTTTATATAAAATAATTGAATTGTGTGGGGTAATCATGAAATTGAGCAAATGTTGAAATAAGATGGTGGAATTGTGTATGTAATACTTCACATCTTTGGAAATTTTAGATAAATTATTTGTCTTGACATTGCATATCTGTCTAGAAATATCTATATTGGGCCATCAGTGGAGATAACTTATGATTTGTAGAAATTGCATGCGAATTAGATGAATTCAAACTAATCTCTTGTTAGTTGTCATTGAATATGACTGTGTTTATATACATTGTATATGTATGGTTGTTTGGGAGTGGAAAGGGATGTGCTCCACGTTTATTATGTGTTTAAATACATTGCATATGTATGAATGATTGTTTGGGAGGAGAAAGGGAGAACTCCATTATAATTAAGTTGGCCGGGAGTGTCTTGGGTGAAAGTCCCGAAATTATACATGGGTGCCAATCTCGCGGATGAAATATCCATAAAATGGCAATTTAGTGCTTGTATAGCCTACGTTTACATGGGTCCTGTTTGACGGTTTTCCGCGAATGAAATATTCGTGAAAGGAAAGTTTGAAGTGTTTATTCGTTGATGATGTGATTATAGAACTAATGATTGTTGTCTGATTTGGGTTATTGAGAAATGATAAAGTTGGCTCATGTAATGAAAATGCATGGAATGGAAATGGTATTAAGAATTGAATCTGGTATCTTATGACTATATAAAGTGTGGTTGTTCTATCATTGATGTTTATATGCATAGTATACTTATATCTTTGCTAAGTTTCAATATACCGTGTTAGATGATTCCTACTGGGTTGTGGCTCATCCTATTTGGGATAACATTTTTCAGTGGTGTTAGTGACTTGCCTCCACCAAGGCAATAGCTTGGAGAGACATTTTGGGAGCAAGAGCTTCTTTATTTGAATTGTATATTTTTGTAAAAGCCAATGGCTAACGTGTATGAGCTAGTCTCTCTTTGTTGTACCCAAGTCAAGGCTTGGAAAGGTGTAAGCCAATAGGACATTTATTTACATGAAACTCTTTTGTAATACCAAGTCTAGGTAATGCAAGGATTATTTACTCTGATTTATGCTGTATTTATAAGCATTCTAGGATGTATTTATTGCATATTTTGGGGGCATTACAAATTAAATATTAATTCAAATTTTATAAATTGAGATTTGGATAATTGGGTCCGAACTGGAGTTAATTAAGTTTATTAGGATTGGAATTAAAAATTTATGAATTAAATTTATTTATTGAGGTGTTCAATTAAATATGTAATTTATTGACAGAAATCTTGAGTTTAATCTGAAATTGAAGGCCTTAATAATGTGAGAAGCCAAATTAATGATGAAAATAAATTTATTTGACATTTAGAGCCTTTTGGAAGTTTGATTAAAAATCTGATTCAGATTGATAGATTTGAATATAATTAATTGGGCTCTAATGGAAGTCAATTAGACTAATTAGATTATGTGAGATTTATGATTAGTTATGATTAATTTTAATTATGTGTTACTCAAGATTTATTAAGAATAAGTGTTATTTAATTAAATTAATTTTAACTGTAAATTAAATTGTAGAATGATTTAGAGTTTGAGGATAAATGTGGGTGTGTGTGGTGAGAAATTTGGGTGTGCAGAGAATCATTTGTGTGTGTGCATGTGAGTGTTGTGCTGGAGGCTTCAATAAGTGTGCACGTGTGCATTGTGAAGAGGGGAGTGTGCGTATATGAGAGAGATAGAGTAGGGAACTCTATTTTATTACTTGCTGGAAGCATTATTATG